GAATCATTTAACAATAAGCATTCAGTACTTTGAATTTCGAAAAGTATTTACGTATTTTAAAATATATTTTATATATTAGAAAATCATTATAAAACACCATTTTTTTTTTTTTTTAAGTTTTTGAATAACAATTAACATTTTTAATTTTACACTGTAAAGTAGGATATTTTTTAAACATTTTTGATGAATAAAATTCAAATTCCTAACGAGTAGTTAGGTACTTAATTAAATTTAAAAGTAGGTACTTGAAGTTTTCATTTGTGACACAACTGACATACAGGAAAAAACTTCTAGTAAAATGTTTATCCACTACACTATTCAACTTAAGTTAATATTTTATATAGTTAATGAAAAAGTTTTTAAAAAAATACGCAGTATAATACGTGATTTTTTCTGGTAAAAATTAGTTTAACGTATCATAGGTGTATCTATTTAGTCCACTATTAATAGAAACATAAATTATTAAATATAACAATTATTATTTTATAAAATATCCTTAGAAAAAAATCAATATTTTAAATAAAATGATTATCATTGAATTCAAATTTAAATTATTTATTACAATCGAAATTATTTACTTACTATAAGCAAAGAAACTTTTCCGTTTTTTCACTTAGCAGAAATTCTCAGAAAACTATCGTTGTTGTTTTTTTCACACATATATTATAATTTGTATAAGATATTAAACTCTATAAGTTGCCAATCAAGTCGATTGAAGTAGATAATTATTATATAATAATATGACGTATTCGATAATTGAAACGTAAACGACTTAGGTAGATATTGTTACATAAAATGGGCTCGGATTAATTGTGCGCGTTTTCGTGTGTATTCAAAATTAAAACTTTAATCGTTTAATTTTGGGCGTTGTCGTCGAATCCGGACGTGTGGTATGTTTGGACGTGTTTTCAAGTTTCTGCATCGTTTACTGCACAAATAACGTTTGTTTAAAATTCGCCAGTGATTTGTAGTTGATGTTTATATCGGTTACATATTAAGCATTTAATCGATCACTGATTAATTTATTATTCATTTCTCATAATAAAATATGTTACGAATATCGTGCGTTTAGTCGGATATTTATTGAGCACATATATGAATGAATGACATGCCCGTTTGGGAGTTATACAGCTCAGTCTTAAAATATAGATTTGAAATAATATTTTTGGATGAATTCCATTCGATGATGCGTCTGATTGAGTCTAATTTTTCATCAATAGAAACTTTATTACTCTATTATTATTTTAAACTTTTTACTCTAACTATAACTGTCATTCCTAACTCCTAAGTCTATAAAAAGAGAAGACAAAATTTGTTTTATTTCAGATTTTTAAATTTTTGTTGGACTCAACTAAGAAATTTTTCGAACTTAATTAAATTATTTTTTAGACAAAATTGGGTGTAAATTTGTATCCACAGAACTTAAATGTAATACATCAATTCGCTTCAACAAAAATACATCGTTATAAGCATACTGAAATACCTGTAATGCTGTTCTATCTCATAACAGATAGGTGAGCCGTGTTTTAATTGGTTGGCGTGCTGCCGTCAAAGTACATAAAATCGAGACCGAATTACTGGATAAATAATATTATTATCACCACGCATAGAGATATATTATTATAATAGACAATATTCGAAACGAACGTTTTATTTGTTATTTTTTTTTTGTTTTTGTATCGCACAAAATTCTTGACGGTTTTTATGTCTCGACACAATAAAACCGCACAACGAAGGCAATAAAACTCCTGGCTCGGATTCATACGTACCGCACACGATACGTCAAACATAATATCGTATATTTGATCATTCCGTCCGTGTATTTATATATATATATTTGTATACGCGATCGTATTTGTACAAGGCGCACATTTTAATACCATTATACAGTCCGTGTTGTTTGAACAAAATTGCACTTCTATTCGAGACTGTATTATTATATTATGAATAAAATATATATTTTTTTTTGAGAGGTAACAATAACGCTAATAATATAATCGTTTCAATTATAGCATGTTATAAGTTATGACTTATAATAATGTATAATTGATGAAAATCAAATAGGAATCATTAACATTGCCGATAAATGGAGGCGTAGTTAGAAAAGTTTTGCAGCCCATCGACTGACAAAAAAAATCTTTTTTTTTTGTATAAATATTATTTATGGAACGACAACAACCTATTATAATTTCAAGGATTGAAAATGTTTGGTAAATAATGTTAAAATTGAGTAAAATTATTTTAAAGCTATTAATTTAAATAAAAATGTGTATCTAAGCTAAGATTGAAAAAAAAACAATAGTTACTTCTTAGAATCGTAAAATAAAAAATATTCTAGCATTATTAAGTATTTGTACATAATATTAATATATTATGATTTCTTAAAAACGTATTAAAATACAAATTGATTCGTTTAAGTAAAAATATTAAAAACTTTAAATAAATATTTAACAAAATTAAAATTTTGTTTTTGGTAGAAAAAATTTAAAAAGAAAAATATTTATAATCCTTGTATTATAGGAATGTACAAAAACAACTTAAAATTTGAATTCTATTGATTCTAGATATTTATAGTTAAAAATACAAGGCATTTTAAGTATTATTGTAATATATGTATTATGTTATTAAACCACGACAACATATTTTTCAAGTGAAGTAATACAATATTTTTTTTCGCTTAATTAGGCATTTTAAAATGATAAATAATTATTAATTGTAATCGATTTTCATCTATAAATATATACAAACGTATAACGCAAAAATAAAGTGAAAATATACCGAGTTTTTCCCGATATATAATAATTATGTTAATTTAGAGATGGTTGTTATAGCTATTTAAGTAGCTATGATGATTTTAATTACAGTTATCTAAATCTTGTAACGAGAATAACAAAATCGTAAATAATATTGTTTTAGAATCCAATAAATGTTTATTACGTTTTAGCAGACAGCCAGATGACTTGCACGTAAAGTGTATAGGTATTGTGGTCAAAATAATGTTATTCGTGCACGCTATGCATACGTGTGCAATGTGTTTACCTACTATACGGATATAATACAATACCAAACAATAAAATAAGAATAATACAAGACTTTTATGCTTGACGAACATATTATTATATTATTATTTATATTATCATATTTTTTATTATTTCTTAATCAGTAAATTTTATATTATTATATATTGTATGATTTGTACAGCTTATACGGTAACCATTCAGACGACAGACCGGTCGCAAGCAAGGTGTTAGGACGCGATTCGTGAATAGAATGATAACAACAATTGTGTGCGAAACAAATTTAATGTAAGAGAATAATAATAATAATAAAAAAAATGCAAATTCACATAATACACCTGTCACCGGGGCGTTATATTTTTTTTTGCGCTTCTTTCTTGTGGACACGAACAATCAAACACTTGGCCGGCAGAGAAATTATTGTTCTATTATATAGCTTATAAATTATAATACGCTACCGAGTACTATACAATAATAATTAATACTAATATTTAGTATAAATCATAATAGTAAACGGAGTCTTTTGATGTAACAGTATATGTTCAGAGTGATTCTTTGTGTCACATATTTTTCAGTCATATATTATGTTTGTATACATTTGTAAATACTATATGGCTGTTTAAAACACTATTTATACATATTTTTGAAAATGTATCAAATTATAAAACTGCAGGATATTTTTTGGAAGAAAATTTTAAATATTTCAACCAAAAAAATTTTTATTAGTGTTTTCATTTTATGTTTAGGTTGATGGAAGAAAGAATGAATCGGTGGATACAGTTTTTATTTTTTGTATACTGTACTATAATTAACTATAAGTTTTAAATTATTACCTAGCAATAGTTTATTACAAGCACTGATAATAGATTTGTTGTGCAATTTAGTTCTATATAATTTTTTATTTACATTATAATAGATATTGAAAAATATATTTTTTTAGAACACACAGAATTATAAAAAAATCAACAATGATAAAAAAATAAAGTAATTTTTCATTGATTATATTTATAATAGTAAATTCTAGAACAGGGCTTAAAATAATAAATACAAAATTGAATTATGAAAATTGTAGCACGTTTTTCATTAAAAAGACTTTACTTTTTCGACTATTCGTGATGACACTATGCTGCATTTAACAATATTCAAAATTATGCGCACGTATAACATAATACGTGTAAGAGGTATACGAGAGTGAAAAACTGAAAAATATATTTCACGCGCTCTACGAAACGTATTCGGTATAAAACGTTGCATTATAATTCAGTCGGTGGTAGGTATACGCGATATATATAATATTATAGGTATAATAATATCTGACGGACGAAATAATTTATGAAAGCAGACGTGTCTTGGCAAAACTTGCATCATTCGTTCATATGGTCGATGCGTTGTCGGCATACAAACAATAATTCATAACGCACAACTGTACAACACTTGGCCGGTCGTCAAGACTATATTCATCATTATGATTATTATTATTATCATTATTGTGCAAAGGCAGTGGTCGAGGCTCAACCCGCGGTCGTGGTCACCGCATCACTCTGCAGTATTCGATATGACTATCATATTGTTCAAAAGCAATATTTTAATGTTTGAGCGCGCGTATGTAGGTACCTCCAGTACACTGTGTGCAGTGTTATCTGCGTAGAGCAATGTAGCAATGTAATTTATGATGTACCTATACACCACGGAGCCCGTAATACAGTACCCTATATATACACATACATATATATGCGTATACGTCCAAGTGACGTGTATCGCGTTACGTCTCAAGCACGCACACGTCAAAATTTTATAAAATTATATATATCTAGGCAAGCATAATACAGCTCTGTGTACTAGCTCGTATGTATGTACGAACCACAATAAGCACAATATAATGGGTGCATGACACGTGATGGTCGCACACGCGTCGTTTATAATATTTGTACACATACGCGTGTATGATAATATTATATATTATATAGGTGTTTGGGTACTCACTTGTTCGCAGGCTCTCTTACAGTTCCCGGTCACGCGGCCGCAACACTTTGCTGTCAACACAAAAAAATATGATATAATTTAAGACAATCGAAATCGTACGTACAGTTTATAATAATAATAATAATAATAATAATAATAATAATATGTAGGTACGATAACAAGACGGTTATCCGCGTACAAACGCGGTGTCGGGTCCCGCGGAGAGTTTCCGCGCGCGTGCGTGGACCACCCGGTCAAGAGATTTTGCGATTTATCGTCCCGCCCGACGACGTACAGTATATTTTTCCGCTCGGGCACGCCGCAGTCTCAATAATATTACATCATGACGTGAAATTTATCGTATTTTATGGTATTGCGTCTGTCGCGAGTGTGGACTCTCTGCCCGGAAAACGTGCGTTCGTATGATATTATTATAATCGTATACCATACGTATGCGATAGGCGAAGTATTTATTGCCCTGGCCGGTCCGCGGGTATTTTTAACCCAAACCGCGACGGGTGTACGCACTGAACTCGGCGGCGCGAGAAAATTCGCATTTATCATGCTCAATTATTTCCGATTAAAAAAAGTCTCGTGCCCGGTATACGAACGGCGCCTCGTTAGTACACGATATTAATATTATGATGGTCTATCTCGGATTTCGTGTGCTCGTATGGCGGAGACCCCCTTCTCACCTTCCTGTTACCGTTACACGGGGTTTCAAGTCGGAAATAACCTTATGGTCTGTCGCCCGCGCGTCTCGTTTAGAAGCGCGCGTGTTTGAACAACGCACACTCACTAACGCGGGATATGTCCGTAATCGCCTATTGCTGTTTCAGATGAGTGTTTAATGTATGTAATATATATATATATATATATATATATACATATATTATACATGTATTATATAGTAAATAGTTATATTCCCGCAACGTGTTTGTACTCCAGAAACTGTTCCATCGACGTTTATGGCCCAACGGGTTATATTATAATTATTTATTATTTGTACTATCGGGGGAACGGAAAAATGAGTTATACGCACGGCCATCTCTTGCTCGAACATACATGTACAATATATACAACATCACTAGATATATACATAAATAGTATTATACGAGCACTCACTCCAACACGTGTTTTTTCGTATCGGCGTCTGTTTTTCGTTACACGCATACCACCGGTCGGTCGGGAAACGTGTTCAATGGGTATTTACGAAATTCGATACAGAAATTTTTTTTTTACCATAATGTATACATTTTTCAGAATACGAGTTTATAACGTCAAAGTCGGTCTCTGGTAACGTGTGTTGCAGCTAACGTCTTCGGAAAAACGCGTGAACAACGCAAACGTTTTGAAAATAAATTTGAATTAATAGACTAGACAATTTATGTGCTGCTTATAGCGGTGTTGATAATAATTAATATAGATTATATAATTTTAATGCAGATTTATGACTGTGATGGATTCGACGGCTTGTCATGACCAATTAGAATCGTGACGTAATAATTGTTGTTATAATACTACACGCCGTGCCTGATATGTCACCAATGAGAAAAATAAACTATTTGCTCTAATAACATAATAATATGACGCGCGTGTCAATTAATAATTGTTCGTATGTATAGTATGGAGTATATATTTCGTTCACACAGTTTATTTTTTGACCTAACTCTATACACAGAGTCGTATATTTGTAGTGTAAAATTAAAATTTGAAATAGCTTGTAAACGAAAAAATATCATTTGAAAATAATTGAAAATAACAGGTACACCTATATATGAAACGATACGATTATGAATAATAATTTTTTTGTTTCATTACACATTTAAACATCTCAAATAGTGTTGAACGACGTTATTTATAACAAGTATTTATGGTTTGAATTGTGACGAAATTATGTATTTTTAAATTTTTTTTTTTTTATTTAGAATTCAAAAATAAATGGTTATGTTACATTACCATTACATAAATTACTAATGTATGTATATTAAATGTTTGGTAATTGTGAAAAATCTTAATTATATAGGTTTTAAACTTATAAACCATATCAAACATTTAAACAAATTATTTTTGATGTCAGGAATTATAAAATTATACACTTCAAAATATTGATTATATTACTTCGACAAAACTTGAAAATTTTCCATCATATCAAAAGTTTTATTCTTTTCATTTTTTAATTATTAAATTAATAAAAATTAAACAAAAATAAAACTACATTTTTTTTTTTTTTTTGATGAATAAATAATATCTTTAGGTAATAATTTTATTGTTTTTTAATGTTTATAGAATATTTTGTACCCATATTCAATTTCTTTTAATTTTTAACCAGTCCAACCTAGTTTTTCTATTTATTAATTATTTGGTTAAAAGAAAAAATATACCGTTTTGTCTGTAATCAGTAGATATAGCAAATTTGATTGGCGGTGTTCTAAACTTTTATAAGCTATAATAATGTGTAACGGGCTTACCTTTTTCGGCATCGATGAAACGTCCGGTGCATAATACCAACAAGAGATAAACGACCAACATGATACTGTGGTCAGATGTCTTAAGGATGATGTGGACCATTATTCGTCTCGCAGCATAACCGCTGGTGTAGACGTCACAGGACCAGCAATCTAAGTACTTTTGTAAAATCGTTTACTTTTTTACCCGCGAATCGAGTTGTACAACTTCGCAAACGGACGATTAGACACAAGGGGTACACCACGCGATACTGAACGGTGTTGAGGACGAACGCGCGCACCGTACAATATTATTATATTTGGAGGAGGAGCGTTAGCGACGGCGGGTGTTGTCGGGCGGCGCCCCGATATACCTATTATTATAATATATGTATAATGTACAGGTGACGCCATCTGGCGTGCCGGATTCGATCGCGATTCTAAAAATACGCACAGCCTCCTCTGGACCATTCATCAAATGGCAAACGCCGCCGTCACGTCACGCATCGTTTGTGTTTACACTCCGCGGCGGGATGTGAGTGGATAATAATATGTCATGTAGTGGGCAAGAGATATAAATCCCAAAACGATTGGAAAGTGAAAAGACGTGCGCGGCAGTCGACGTAGGTGTACCAAAGGTGACCACGTATGATTTAGGTCAAGACGGGAAAAAAATCGAGTACAGAGATCAGTCAACTGTGTTGGCGCTGAGTGCTGACACAGCTGAAGTTATAACGTTATAATGTCGTTTGCCGCAATGTTGATTTTTATCTCTTTTTATTTATTAAATATCTCGACATAACTTGGATTATTTAGCCCCCTATTGACATTTTACCCGGGGCTTAATATCTGGGGAATATTTACTTGAGCTAAAATTTCACGGCAGTATTTTATGCATATTATTGGTATTAAAAATATATACTACGCCTCTATTATATGTGTAGATAATAAAAAATGTTCTTCAACAAAAAAATATTTTCTTTATTTTTAATCTATACTGTGTTGTGTACAGGATATTTTAGTGTTTCAAAGATTTTTCAATTTCCAGATGATAACGGAGCAGAGAAAAAAAACAGAACTATTCTGCGTATACTGCTGCTGCGCATTATTACATATTATAGAAGTGCGAAATAGCACCGCCGTCGACTGGTGAGGGGCGAAATAATTGAAAACCAGAAGAACGCTTTTGATATTTGGTATAGTGTTTTCTATTCAGCATTAGACATACTTTTTCTCCATTTTATATATATTAATATATAAGTAATGTTTATTGTGCTAATTTGGGTTAACACCGTATTTTGTCTTATATTCCGATATCTGTGATCAGTGAGATCATTTCAGTTTTTATAATAGAGCGAGTGCAAACGTTTATATAGCTGAAAAAAATAGCTTTTACTCACGTCCACGTGTCCAAATATTTGAACTTAAGAACTACAAACATTAATCATTATTGTAAAAATAATTTCCAAGTACCAAAACAATATTATATTTTCTCAAAATTATAAAAATAGTTCTCAATGTTTTTTCACCAACAACTAACCATTGAACTGTATATTTTAGTAAACCTACATATGGAAATTGTGGAACATCTTTGATGTATATATATTATGTTAAGATACACATAATAGTGCTTAAAGTGTTAAGGTTTATAAGTATTTATAATTAAACGGGAAAAAAATCAAATTTATATCGACAATATTAGAATTATATTTAATCAATTAATAGCTGTATTTCTAAGTATACGCAACTGGACTAAAAGTCACTTTTAATTAAGGGGGGAGGGAGAAATAGTTTCCTCCCGAAATCAAAAAGGTCAATCATTTTTATATGAATTGCCTACCCAAAAATGATCCAGTTAATTTCGTATATAGCAATTATTATAGTAAGTAGCTTGCCGATAATAAATTAGGTAAGTAATAAATGTCTAAGTGTTTCTTAAACGCTGCAAAAATGTTATAAATATATAATAATAAATATAATATAAAATGCATATAAATATATATATTTATAATTTTAATTATATTTTCTAGTTTTCTACTCTAAGACGATAAAATTTTATCTTGTAATACCTAGGTATTTTTTTTAGTTTAATATTTGTATTCTATTATAATGCTTTAAACATTTTTAAAATATTTGTAGGACCCAATATTATTTTTAAAAAATAATTGAATGCTTACTGCTTTTATACTTTTTACTGCTTCAGTGCTTTAGTTAAAAAAAAAATTTAAGGTCATATATCTATAGAATATATTATTATTTATTAAGACACAATTAATAATCTACATAATTGGCCTATAAATCTAGGTACTACCTAGTACCTACCTGTTGCTTTTTAATTGTTTATATTTAATATTTGCTTTATTTTATGTTTGTGCTGTAGAATGTAGAGTGTAGACTAAAAATACGGTTTCGTTAAGAAATGGGCCAGGATTGTTTATGTGGGCTTGCACTATTGCACATTTACCAAGAAATAAGTATACCGATGGATAAAATTATTGAACGATTTTCTAGTATGAAAAACAGAAGACTAAACTATGTATAATTATATAGTACAATAATTATTTATTATAAAATTATTTTATACCACGCATTATATTATACTTTATTAAATTACAATTTATTTTTGTGTACTTATCAAAATGTTTTATTTAATATTTTACAAATATAAAATTCCCATTAGGTTAGGTTAGGTTAGTTGTGATGTAAATGTTTAAGAAATTGTCAAGTTTAAGAATGGGTAAAAATATATTTCGCCTCCCTCCTCCCGGAAGAGAAGCCTAGGTACACTACTGGTTATAACTGGTGTAATATACAACGTTTTAAGGCAGAATTCATTGTTTTTGTATTCCTTAGTTTCATTGAGATGCTTGCAACCTAGTGGCTAGTGTTAATAACCGTCGATCGCACATGTATCGTTGAATGTAAACGATACGTATGCTATATAGACAACAATAAAGTGTACGCTGAAAAGACTGAATAAGACCTCTTTGTAAACATAAAGCTCACCGCCGGTGCCGATTTTCTAGGTCAGTAAGTTTAGATTAACATCCTCCGCTGTGTGACGTGATGTATATAGCTTATAGGTTTACTTGAAAATTTAAAAGCTTACGATACCCTCGTCCCGTCACCTATAACCACCAATATCGTGACTTAAAGTACCATTATAGTCTGCAATCGCTAAGTATTACACGTATTCAAAATATGCTGATCGAAAAGAATTTACAAGACGACTGGATCTACTGAACAATATGTTTATTAATATGTAATTATATAGACATAAAATCGTCGGGGGGCTTACCTGTCTGGCGGAGAACTATATATGAATAATTACCGGTGCTGAAGGAACAGTTTTCTCTGCAGACACTAACAACTGTTACCGCGATTGTAGTAAAAGCCGTCGAGTGAAAATCCTATACACGGCGAAGGGCGCGAGGGCGGAAATGTGAAAGTAATAGGATAAGCCTGTGCACAAATCTGAACAACTGTGTGTAAAGTTTGAAATTAATATAATTAAACATTACGATTTTTTACATAAATCGGCTTATTATTTAATATTTAACGTATACAAAGGCGTTTTTGACGTTTGCAGTTGTTATTTACTTCATAGTTACGTATAAAGTGTTTGAGAGTATTAGATTTCTATTTTTATTATATATATAATATATATGATATTATGTATAAGTGTAATAGTCGACATTTTATTATCCCCACTTTATTATTTCAAGACGTAAAGCTGATTTTATTTTTTACAAGACTTTGCCAAATTTGAATAAGTTCATAAAATAAATTAGGGGCGTAATTTCGGATTTTTTTTTTGAGTGTGCGAGGTTTCAAACAGGCCATTTTGAAATTTCACCAGACTATATAAAAAAAGATATATGTATATGTACAAAAACCTGCTTTTAATTATTTCCAACAATCGCCATCGCATGTACTGAATTATTGCATCAATATAAATGGAAAAATCAATTAAAAAACTAAAATATAATAAATAATTAACAATCATAATAATTGACAGTATACCGATATTGATAAATGTCAAAATTAAAATTAAAATACAATTTAAAAATATTTAATTTTGAACTTTATCTCAACAGGGCGCAGGCCAATTGATATTATTTTAAAAGTATGTTGTATTATTATTTTTATTATTTGAATTAATATTTATTTCCAATACAAAAATTAACATATACATTGCTGATATTGACAAATATATGTATACTATTTACTGTTTAGTGTTGAAATACATAATATTCGTTTTTGTGACACAGTTTGTTATTATAAATAAAACTTGCCAACGTCGAAAAACATATTCTGTTCAAAAATTATTAAGCGTACGTGTATCGTAAAAATGTATTAACATATACTATACTTATACTATAACATCATACAGAATATATTATGTCCGACGTGGAAATCCGACCGCCATTCGCTGCTGCTTGTTCGGTGATTCTGATGGTTTCAGCCAAACCACTTGCAAATGGTCAGTTCGAAAAAGAATAGCGCAATTTTTCCGGGTCAATATAGATCAATGCCTAATATTGCAATGACATCTGGCGCGGGTGATGTATTAGAGATTCGATTGTCGTCTTCGTCATCGATATGGCAGGTTTGTGTGGGCCCGGCCAAACTGGATATGGCAATGGGCGACTTCATTGGTCCATCAAGAAAATTATGGAGTTCGATGTCGAACATTCACATGGCGCTTGATGCGACCGAAGCAACCGAATTTGAGTGCATTCCGTTGCAAGTCTTAGCTGAAATTGACGAAACAACACTGGCCCGTGTACACTCTTCTATAGATCCTGCAATAACCAGATGCAGTGCTGAAACAGAGGCCGTGGTAACAATGGTCGAACTTAAAAAACGCCGTTCGTTGTGGAAAAGAACAAAACAGTTTGTTCGTTTCATGTTTTTCTGTGCAAAAAAATAATATAATTTATAATGTCAGAACTTATTATTGCGCGTATGAGTAAAAATAATAAGCAGGTAGGTACCTATTTAATATATTCGGATAGTTATTGAAAATAATATTGATTTACACAAATAAAAATGTTTTGTTATGTTATTTGATCGATTTCTATTTGATGTATTAATATTAAATAAGGCTGACACACATTTGTGAAAATGTTGACTTTATATTATTATATAGATAGGTACCTACTTTCAGTATCTAGTACTATCTTAAAAGTAAAGGGTGCAACCGTACACCTTAATCCCCCCTCCAAAATGACACCCCTGAAGCAAATATAATAAATTATCTTATAATAAATTCCTACAGTGTACTCCTATAATGGTTTATGAATATTATTATCGAATTATTTATAAAAAAATCTTTTTACAACAATTTCATTAAATTAATAATAATTAAATGTAGAGACGAAGATAAATTTATTATTTTTATTAACACGCTAATGAGTGTAATCGTGTTTAGAGAGGATGGATAGACGGCCAGAAAAAAAGAATGACGGGCTTATTAAATTATGTGAATTTCTTTTAAAATTTGATTTAAAATATTAAAAATGGCAATATGAAAGTGAAAATTGTGTGATAAGACGTAAAATAGTACCTTTATTCTAATCAGATATATTAAATTGTAATTTTATTGTACTATGTTATACAAGAAGTTTAAAACTTATTACTTTAAATTTTGTCTTTAATATAGAACTAATATTAAAATTCTTGGTATGATGACTTGATTATTTTAAATTAATAATTTAATATGAATATTTTATTGGAAAATTCATTAATATGCGAAACAGCTAAAATACGACAAATACATTATATTATAAAAATCAATTCAGATGCATCATGCATGATTGGCCAATCAATGTTTACAGTGAAAACATGATATAATGCAGGAAATAATACAAATATTTAATTGCTTTAAGAATAACATATTTTAATTTATTTAACAATAAACTTTGTTTAAATGCAATAATGCATATTGAAGTCCTTGTTAGTAGCATACAACATTAAGACTCATCAGTTAAGCGGATTTTATCACTGCTTATATAACTATAATAGTATAATTAACAATAATTATACTATGTAGGTACTTATTGTTCCACTTGAAATCTAAAGATAATCAATAATAATTTTATTCACATTGTATTATTGAGTTTTTTTATCATTAAATTATGTTTTTAATTTGATAGTGACTGAATTCTATAAAAAATTAATTAAATAGTGACTTAAGAAATGACAAAAACATGATATTATAGTTTTACATATTTAACTATAGGATGTATGCTGTACGTTTATAATAATACGAAATAATAATATATTTCAAAAGACGTTTGTATTTCAAATTATATTGTTCATAGTTTTGAACTTCGAAACAATAATTTATGCTTACTTCGAAAGTCACTTCAAATTACTTTTGCATGATATAAATTATAAAGGCATTATATTCGAATTATATTTCGAAATTAATTTATATTAAAGTACATATATAATAATATGTTATCATTGCTAAATGTCTGGGAACAGCGTGCACAGCACATACACGTATTATACGCATATCTTATCATTTGTATTTCTATAGTAAAAAAGTCGACAGTAGTTATATTTTTATTTTTATTAATAATTCAAGGATATTTAAAAAATAATAAAACTTATAATTAATATTTACTATGATATAAGAAATTATATATATATCTATAAAAACACTCTTGAAAAATTATAATTTACTCGTAGGTACAGAAAACTAAAATAATTATAATATATATTAATATATTAAACAAAATATGAAAGACCCTAAAAACGATTTTTTTTCTGAAAAATTATTATAAACATTATTATTATAAGATTTACCAAACTTCGTTTTTAAAAGTCCAAACTAGAAAAATTATTCGGAGTTTGACCAAACCCATTTTGAATTCTAAGTTTTACCGAAAGCATTTAGTTAATGTCCGAATTTCGGACTGTTATCGGTATTCATACTTTTACCGTAACTTTAAGTTTAAAAATTGTTATCTTAAAAATTCCTCACAAATTAATTAAATGCCTAGTTTAGCCATAATTACGCCGCAAAAATAAATTGGACGCAACTACACGTACACTTTAATCTGGCAGGGTGTTTGAGAAAGGTGGTTTTTGCCAAGTGCAACATAATATATTTTAAAATAGAAATAATTAACTTGGATTGATTTTTGAAGGCCAGCAATGTGGCATGTATAGGTAAAACAGGCTGTTTGAAAGAAAAATAAAAGAGAAGTAGTCGGTTATAAAATAAAGATTAGATAAGTTACAGCTTTAATTACACGGAATGCACGACTTACTCGGACGAAGGCCTTTACTTACTATAATAATGACCAATTTAAAAGATCAAAAAAAGATCCTGAACTCTTTTTAATTTCCTTCGATGAACATGAAACCTACGACAATAAATATTTAGCACTTTTAATGGAAGTATCATTTTTTTTTCTTCATATATTAAATTTATATTTTTTTATTTATTTAACCTAACTTAACTTATAAATAGCTTAAAAAGAGTCAACAATTTTGAAAACTATAAAATAAATTTTAAATGATAATATTTTGATACAATTTTTGAAAATTTCAAGTATCTACAGTTATCTGTTTTTGAATAACACCAAAAAATAAAAATCGTTAAGGAAAAAAATAGTTATTATACGGGCGAATGGATATTCATCATTTTACAGCACAAAATCACAAATATTTTTCCGATAAAAATTACAAAACAAAAAATGATAGTTAAAAAATTGTAGTATTTTATATAATACTGGATGACCTTTTACTATAAGTATTTTATCAATACGACAAATATCAAATATTTAATTACTGTATAACCTTTAGCTATAAGTCATCTATTAAGATAATCATGTAAAACAATAAAATGACCTATAGTCGGATCAAACACACACACAGGACACCCGATATAACCACCGGTCCAGGCTCAGTGCTCTTCCCGTCTTTTTGTGTAAATGATCATAAGCGAGTGTAAAAGACTACGCAGTTCATATACACGAAAATACATAAGTGTTAAAATAAATTTATGTTAAAGTCAAATGTATTAAATAGTTCATGTGTTAAAGAAAATTTATAATAAAAATAATAAGTGTATTTAAGAGAAAAAAGTCTTATAATTATTCAACGTGCACTGGTCACCTTATTCACAACAGCATTAACAAAGAAGTCATTGCCAAGAGAAGAAAGGTAATGTAATGATTTATAATTGATCTAAAGGTGTATCAATAACCTCTGATAAATATTACCCCTTCATTTCCAATATCCTTTTTTAAATCATTACACAGTAATGACTTGTTATAATACATATCACATTAATTTCAGAAGAATTAATTTCTCGATTTGCTTAATTAGCCTAATCTGTTTTCTAAATATTCTAAATGCGTGTTATTTTTTTTTTTCTATTCGTACATTAACTTAATGGCATTCTGATTTTAAGATACATACCGTATAGAAGCGACTATAGAGGTCGTTTTAACGCTGTAATAGCATATGCCATAAGCTACACTGCTTCAGTCAATTGTCCTTCTTCCGATCCCAATAAATAAAATTATTGTAAAGTTCTAAGACTTCTTATTATTTAAAAAAAATATAGCTATAACATTTTTTTAAAAATATATTTGATGTACCATGCGTAAATACCGTAAATATTATTTAACATTTTTAATAGCTATGAGAACAACTTATTTTAACGTATATATAAAAAAAAAACTGTAGTTATTTGATGTGTGAAAGAATATCAGAAGTTATAAAAATCACTCGTGTGCATGCACATGCCATCGGGCGCGTCCCCGGGGTTGCGGATAGGGTAAAGTCCTGCAGAAATGCAGAGTAGCCGCGAAATAAGCCATACCTTCGGGAATGGACGAATAAGCGATCGCGGACAAGTGCACCACCAAGAAAATGATCGATTCCTGGTGTTCCAGTTGTAGATCAGATCAATTCATGGAAAACCAAGCAACAGAGAACTGGTTGATCTTCGCCAAGTCTGCCAAACCAGAACAATAAAAAATCATGTAAGTAAAATACGAAACGATAGAAAAAGCATCTGAAATCCTCCTACTGGAAGGGATCGTACTTCAAGGCATATCAGTCAGTATTAAGCAAGCGGGCTACCAAAGGTGCAACCGTAATGAAACGAGTACAGGGGTGTCCAGCCAGGCTGAGACAGACGTGTCCTTTAAGGGCACGCATTGGAAACAGTCATTGGCAGGCAGACAGTCTGGCACCGGATTAGTCTGCACTACTAGTGGTACTAGTACTGTGACCACCACGAATAATGTTGTTGAGGTCAATTTCGTGATGACTACGTAAGTTTCTTCTGGGTTGAAATTATTGAAGAAATTCTATAATTATTTGATCTTTAGAAAAATATCAATGGGCTTAAAAGAACCAAACGTTTTTGAAGAAACAGATACAGTTGAAGATTCAGTACGTGTTTTTCAATTTATTCTTACACATTTATATAATATAACATTATAAGATAAATAAAATTGGATACCTTCGCTTTTCTATAATTTACGTATACTATTGTTATTATTGATAAAATAACCTACCTACTTTTAATCTTTGATATTTTTTAATATTATTTAGATCAATGATTTGATTAACAAATTTTCAAAATTGAAGATATCCTGTAAAAAATCGATTACTACAAAATATTACTCGTTTGAAACAATATTTCATTTAGAACTCGATGTACATAATAATTATATCACATATTCTGTACATTATTAAATTTATAAAATTAATTGATTAATTGGTACTTTTTGAAGGACGAAGAGCCACAATGTGAAATTACTGATTATGTCGAAGCACAAACAAATCATTGCAAATAAGTACATATAAAACACGTAATATTATGATACGGATTCAATTATTGTAATTTAATGTTATTTTATAGGTGAAACGTAAAAAGGGACCGATAATTTCCGAAGATGAACCTTCGTCTAAAAAACATAAACTGGTTGTATTAGCTTCTATATTGACAATTTATATAACTAACACTTTTTATATTACCATTAACATTTTTTAATTTAATTTTATATTATTATATAGGTTAAATTGAAAGTTGACTGAATGATTTCAAAGACAAGGCAACTCACTACAATCAATAAACTCGAAGTTAAATAAACGGATTCTCTTTTACAAGTTAATATAAAAACATTTTTAGTATTATATCATACAGATATATTAAATTACTTTAATATGATACTTACAATTTTTATTATTATTAATAAATAGCTTAATCTTAAACGTAATATTGGATTCAAGTAATCTTCAAGCAGGATGAAAAAAAAATATCGCTGAGTAAAATTTCTATTCTCGATTCAAAACAAACAAATTCTTTTTTTACGATTTAGATAATATATATTATATTATGCATGTATAAATATTTTTTTTTTTATTAAATGACTTATACATTTTTTGTTAAATATTTTAATAATGTTGTGATGTTATAATAAATTAATAATTTGTTACTTCTATGAATAAATAAGTAAATATTATGGATAAATTGATTTAAATTCTTAGTATTACTATTATTTTTTCTTCACTGGAGTAGCCAATCATATATTATGCTTGATTATTGCTGGGCTTAAATAATAATACGTTGTGGTCTATTTTTTAAAATGTCCCTTCTTTACTCTTTTAGGTGATTACATTCTTCATCACTGCCAGTATTATTTTGATTATATTTCTGAGACAAGTATTAAAAAAAAACCATATCCTCGAAACAGAATGACGGATTATACATTATACATTTATACACACTCGAAATAGTTGAAAAATACGAATGTACCTATAATAAATGATTTAGTCTGCAATATATAAAAATATCATCGCTGGTATAAAGGGTTGAAAACATTTTGATTTACAGTCTTACATTGGTATATAATATATACGAATGCTACCGCAGTGACATAGGAAGAAATCCGATAAAATTTCAAGAAGAAATATTTTTATAATTTGCGTACATTATTTTAATTTTACATTCGTAAAACCGCCGATAATAACTAAATATATATTAGTATTAATATATTATATAGTATGTCTGTGTTTAACCGAATATTATTGTAATCTTAATATTAATATCCTGCGTGTATTACGTGCTGAAATAAAACTATTACTATTGTTTGAAATGTTGTATTGACGAGTGACAACGTATTGCGTGCGTATATGGTATATCAGATGTATATAGACATAGCTACATGTCATGCCGGAAACACGTGTGCCTTTTTGTTTTTCTCTCTCCACAAATAAATTTGTGAATTTTTGGACGATTATAATTATTATCTAACAAGACCTCCCTCCGGCCACTGTAACTATATTATGTTATTATTATTATTATTATTATTATTATCATTATGGTTAGTGCACAACTTGTTTTATTACTCCGTCCTGTCACTCTATAGGCAAAAGTGATGGGTTATCGACTGTCATTTTACTCGACCAGCACTCGGTACCCTGTTTATAACAAATTATCTACCCAGAACATCTCTAATCGACATTATATGTTTAATATTTATAGCATAAATAAATAAATATAATAAGTCAATATCCAATGTCGAGGCGATTTTAGTAAAAAAATAAAAATAATAATAATAAATAAATACAATAAATACTTATACATGTATATAATTTCTAATTAACTTATAGTACCTATTTTTCAATTGTATTAGTGGCGGTTTGAAAATTTTATTTGATCGGGGCAAGCCTAAAATACACAACCTACCCACCCACCACTACACAAATTTGATATTTTAACAAATAAAAAATCAGTTTCGCTGAGTTATTAGTACTTTAATGTATTACTATATATTATTTACTTACAATACACATATAAATTTATTTGTTATTTTTTAAGTTTATGTAAGAATTCACTAACATTATCACAGGTGTAACATAAAGATTTAGTGTCTTCAACTGATTAGATTAATCTAATAAAATTGAAAAAAATTATAAAAACAAATTTATATTTTTCGTCAAATTCAGATTAATTTTCACGTTATTATATATTTTATTTTTTTTCATTCTTTTCTTTTAGTAACCACCACGATTTAATAAATTAAATTAAATAAAATAAACATTTATTGAGCTCTGGAACTTTATAGAAAAGACACTGGTTATTTTATTTTTTTTTGTTCACTGTTAATAGTTTATATTACCTATAGACAATATGATGCCTCTAATTAAGAAGTCGAAGAGGTTTCCAAGGATTCGGGATCGCTGCGAAAACGCAAAAAAACGATTTACGAATGGAATCACCGTTGCTTGTTAATTCCAAGTAATTACCTAGTATAAATATTATTTTGTATGATAGTAAAGAGTAGTACAGTTAAAAATATTTTAAATATTCATCACATAATATTATATTCATACTTGCAATCAGTGGCGTAGTCAGAATTTTTAAATGAGGGGAGGGGGGGTTAAGGTGGTTTAAATATATACTGAAGATGATTCAAAATATGTATTTTAATCAGAATTATTTTTTTTATAATATAAAAGTATTTAAACTTTATTACATTAACTATATTCTTCTTGTTTTGATCGCTAATTTACTAAATAACTAATAATATTAAAATAATTAAATTAAAATCAATGGGGGAGATTACAAAACCCAAAACCCTTCCTGGTTACGCCATAGCTTGCAATCCATTCACATTGACACTTTCGTTGAAAAATGATATTTATTTTGCTTGAATAACCATACAATAACACTTTACAAGATCAGGTTTTTGAAAATAAAAGTTTGTAATATTCAATTTTATAGCTGTAGTCACAAACAACTGAAACGTCCATCTGTTCTTGACATGTTTAAGAATATGCTAAAATGACAAGTGTGTCATCATTTTCGATTTAAGATCGCGAGATAATGTTTGGGTATATACTAGTTAAATAAACTTAAATGCAATAGAATTTTAAATTTTAAAATTCAATAAACCTATTATTTTTTTGTGTTTATTTTATTTTGCTACTAGTATTAACTATGATAGCTCAACAATTACGTTTTTAACAAAGAATTTAAATTACATTATACATCAGGGGTGGCCAGCAAAAAGAGACTTGCGAGTCGCCCAGTATAAAAAAATAAATATGGAAGAGTCAAAATGAAAAAAAATTCATATTACTGTTTGTTTATGATTATTGTAAAGAAAATAATTACTAATTAGATATCAATTATAATAAAATGTATAAAATACGAAACAATATAATATGGCCTACGACATATATACAATTATTTAGCTTATTAAGTATTAAGTATAATTAATTTTCCAATAAAAGGGTTTTTATGTTTATCGTTGTATAGAGTTTCTGCTACAGAATTAAAATCTTTTTAAAATATTTACTCACGAGCCGCTACTGGTAAAAAATTAAAATTACATAAAAAAATATTTTTAAAAAACTGAAATATATTATTCTGATTTTTATAATATTAAGTGTCTGAAGTTAAATGGATCACCCCGTTAATTATCGTCAAAAAAATTAGTATACTTCAATTTTTTGAACTGTGTAGCTTGAACTTTTTTTTTTTATGCCTTTTAGAACGAGCAAGTCTACAAATATTAAACCAGTTATGCATAATATAAACAATAATATTTTTTTGCTGACTATTGAGCTATACATATTTACCAAAATTTTATATTACTAATATATTGTCTGTAAGTACCTACTAAAGTATTTTATGTTATTACATCAATTTTTGAATGCGTGGCAATGTTTAAAAATAAAGCGTCTGTTTTACAAAAAGTGATTAGCTTGATACTTGGAAAAAAAGATTATAATACTGGTAAAAAAGAAATGATTGAGTAACATAGTCAGTTTTTATTCATTCAATTAATATATGTCAAGTAAGTCAAAATGATGTATTGAGACATTAAATGATTCTTAAACTATTTATTTTACCGGAAACTTTTTTCACATATTTATAGAGATAAAAAATGTATTTAAATATGTTTTTGCTCTTGGTCACATTTGGCGTGATGGTGTATGTGTATTTGGTTTAAATAAAAAAAATAAAGACAACATTTTCGTTTAGATTTAAGCTTACCAGTAACTTAGATTTAAAATTATTGAAAGTATTAAATACAATTTTAAATATTCATTTAAACGTAATTATGTATAAATCTGGCTGTTAAGTTTTTAAGTATATTATGAAAACATTTTTATTTGATAATTTAATTAAATATAATTAAATAAGATTTTATATTTGGCTGATGACTAATGATTTATACAACAAATAATTAATCTATTAATTTGTGCAATATTGAATATTCTAATTCAAAATTTTCCATAGAATTTTGCATTCAAAATTTTCTAAAACCAATAATATATTAATAACATATAAAATAAATTATTGTTATTTTGAAATATTTATCATAGTTAGTGTAAAACTATACATTAGACTAAAAGTAACTAATAATCCAGGAATTTATTTAAAATAAATTTAGACAGTAAAACCTCTCTATGACGAACCATTAACCCTTTATATTAGACGGAATCCTTCTTAAAACGGAAAATGTCGACAATCCTGGTTCAAATTATAAATACGAAATTAATCTCTCTAAAATGAAACCTCTATTAAACGGAAATAAACAATTATCGTGACCCTAGAAGTAAAAATACTCTCTAGAGAAGGGAAAATAATATTATTTAAAGATAAATAATATTTATGGTAACCAGGTAATCTAAATTTTATCGTTATCTGAAATATCGTTTAATGGTATCGCTTCACGCTTATGTCATATTGATTAATTTATTACCTTTTAATAAGCGTGTATCTAAATCTAATCAGCGATGAGTTAAAAATAATAAAAGATTTATAAACTGTAATCTCATACTTGGAAGAATTACAAAAGCTTTCAGCAACAATTTCGAATTCAAATCAATTAGAACTAACAAAAAAAAAAAAAAAAACACGAGAATATGCTGAACAGCGCGTTAGGTTTGTCACAAAAGGCAGTCAAATATTGCAATCTATTTTTGTTAATTATAAATAAAGTACCTATTTTTTAGGTTCTATAATAATATACAATATGGTTTTTTTAGTTCTTAGTTTTATTTTTTCCAGTACATAATATATATTATACACAAAACACATTTAAATATTAATTCATATATCATAATCTTTTAGTATAAATTTACGTTGTACGAAATATTTATCTAAATTATATTTTTTAAACACATAATATGTCTACCTACATTATATAATTATGTACCTATATTTTTGAAACTTCATTTTTTTTTAACCTATTTATAACGCAAAAATATATTATTCCCAACTCACAAGTAACTATTCACAAAACACAATCTAAATATTACTGTTATGAATACTTTGTTCCTATAAACTTTGTTTAAAACTAGATTAATAAGCCTATCTAAAATAATTGTAATTAAACAGAATCCTACTATGTTCGATTGTTTATTTGTATTTTTGTCTTTTTCTAAGAAATGTATTGGTACCTATTTAGAAAGAATATTTACTTGGGTACAATATTTCTAACTTTTAGCTGTAATTTTCTTTATTAAATATGTTTCATTAAGCATTGCTTTTTAAATTTTTTCATTCTAAGTTGGATAAATTAATCTATCGATGGAATGATACATTAGGTACCTATTTAAGCATTCTAAGCGATATATACATATATATATTATAAATCATGTTGGAAGCGGATTGGTTTTGACCGACGGAGAATTAACGTATAGATTAACCTATAATAGCAGACTTGAAATTTTAAAAGTATTTTCGTTTCAAAATGTGCACTTTAAGGATTTTGCAAAATTCTCGTTTTAAAAAAAGTCCTCAACATAGTTACAAGAAATTGTTGAACCACGAAAAACGATCGTTTTGTTTGCATTGGGTTGCAATTGGTTAGTGATTACAGAAAATGATTTAAATATTATTTGATTACATAATTATTATTTTTTATTAAACATTTTATCGTGGTCATTAAAGGTGTATCATTTTAATTATCATAAACAGTGCATTTTTTAATTTGTATTATTATCAATAAAAGTATATTATCTAACAAGATGTTTTGTAAACATTGCCCTGTAACTGTTGCATAAAACTACTCAACATTAACGTTCCTATGACTATGGAATTTAATATGAATTATGCATATTATGCAGTTGATTATGACTAACAAGTAACAAGTAATAGTTTTCCAATCATTTTTTATGGTTGTTTTATAATACATTTAATGATGTGCAGTGTCCCAATGTCAGTGACGATGAATATTAAAACAAATTGTCTTATCAGTTATCTGTTATCTCCAATGGTCACCGATGTCATACGTTTCGTCATCGATGGCTAACAGTGATTGTACCGGTTTTTATACTTTGAGGTTATGTTGTGGTTTGTAGCAATATTGACATATAGTTGGTACTGTTCGTAATGTTCGTATATACTATAATTCAGATTTTGGAAGTTCGGGGTTGAGAATTTGCCTCTTTTAGCTCTGCGAACCGGCACCAAGTACTCGATTGCGGATTGTTTAATGTTTACTTATGTCTTATTATTATTATAATTGTTTTTCGTTAAAAAAATTGGTAATGCGTACCGGTACAACCGTATTCTTTTAATTTTTTTGTATAAATGTTTTGTTAGTTTTGTTCAATTATTAAATGCGTTTATCGTTTATTGTAGTTTCGAAAGCGTTAGGCCAATTATTTATATTTTAAAGCTGTGGTCAAGTCATTTGTGTTAATAACTCAACATGTCGTTAGTTTGTGCTAGTAAGTTAATAATACCTTAATTTTTACGTAATTACTTATAATTATATTAAATTAATACGAATTTTAACGAAATAATTGTAAAATGTTAATAGGTACCATTTTATTCCTTGATATTTGAATTAGATTGCGGTTGTTTTCTCGGCTTCAACTTTGGTTTGCGTTACTTTTAAATATTAAATATTATTTAATTGCAATTCCAAAAACTTAATATTTTTGATGCCTTTAAAAAAGATAACATTAAATTATTATAATTTTTATACTTCTTATTAGCATAAATTCTTTATAATTTAAATTGTATTTAATTTCTATTAAACTTACTACTTTCTTATATTAAATGTTTTAATAATTGAATTATCTATGATTATCAGTATCTATTAGAACAATTGTAAAGTTAAGAATATATGACTATTCATCTTATAGCACACTAACTAAAAGGTTAAAAACCTATTCATGAACAAATAACTTAAAGAGTATAGTTTATTTATGAATTTTGTTAATTTTCAGTTTCTAATGAAGTACCGGAGCATCCTGTGGTATCACCAGTATCCGGTTCAATTTTTGAAAGACGTCTTATAGAAAAATACATCAAAGAAAATAATACTGATCCGATAAATGGTGAAGAATTAACTCTTGAACAGTTAGTAGATATTAAAAGTAAGTTTAAATTAAGTAAAATTTTTATCATAGATTTTACCTAATTATTAGGTATTTAAATTTTTTATATAATATAAAATTTCAATTTTATCTTAAAATTCCTTTAAACAATTATATAATGGACTTAATCCTGTTATTTATACATTAAATAGTAATAGGTAATGTTATTTATTCATTATGTTAACTGTTGTTTTTTTTTTTAAATTATTAAATTATTTTATTTATTAATTTTGTTATAACTAGATTACTACCTAAATAAATTAAATAATAATAATAAAAAAAAACTAAGAATATGTTATAGACTAAGTAATGGAAACAAAATATTTAATTTATAGCCTTTAAAAAAACTTTAAATTATATTTATAGTAACTAGTAATTCTAAAACATTAAGGTGCAATTCAGGCTAAAATATGAAAAGCACTGACTTTTACTCTGTTAGTAGATAATTAGTTCTTTATGGCTGGTGGTGATTAGTATTATGTTATACTTTTACTTAACTAGTTAAATGTTTCATAAAATTAATTAATTTTTAACAATGTTATCATTAAGTTTTAAATTAACAATTTTGGCATAAATAAACACTTAAGTACAATTTTCATAGAATACAAATATTATTTATGTATGCTTGTGAAGTATGAATTTTATTATTAAACACAAAATTTATTATTGTAAGTAATGAATATAATATAATAAATTCTATATTTGTTAAATAATGTCATAAGATTTTATTCATTTTATAATTTTTAATTTTTTTTTGAATATTTTAGTCTGTATTGATAAGGTTTTATTTTATCTAGGTTTAACTATTTTTTTAAATTAAAACAATAACATATTAGGATAAAAGAAAAATGTTTTATTTAGTCAAATAGGTATATAATAATTAGTTTGAATATTATTTTATTTATTTATTTTAAATTTTAGCTGCTTCTATTGTTAAACCTAAACCTGTAACTGGCACTAGTATTCCTGCTATATTGAAAATGCTCCAAGATGAATGGGATGCTGTAATGTTACATGCGTTTACGCAAAGACAACAGTTGCAAACTGCTAGACAAGAGTTGAGTCATGCTTTGTATCAGCATGACGCTGCATGTCGTGTAATAGGTCGTTTGACTAAGGAAGTGACAGCTGCTCGTGAAGCTTTGGCTACACTCAAACCTCAAGCCGGGATTTCTGCTGGAGATTCATCTGCAAATGCTGGACCTACTACAATACCACAACCAGTATGTGTAATAGTGCTATATAAATTTGTTTCTATTGCTTATATATTTTTTTAATATTTCTTGTTTGTTCTTATTAAAGGCAATTGCTATGGAAGCTGCTGGAGTGCCAAATCAACCAACCGAAGAAGCAGGTATTACTGATGAAATTATTAAGAAACTACAAGAGAAGGCTACTGTCTTAACACAAGAGAGAAAGAAACGAGGACGTACAGTTCCAGAAGACTTAATAGACCAAGAATCATTAAAAGCATTTAAAACTTTGGCATCCCATCCAGTAAGTAATATTAGTAATAAACTTATAAATTTCAAAAGTTTATTTAATTTAAATATTTAGGTAATTGTTGTTATTTTACTTTATACTTTATAGGGTCTTCATAGTGCTAGTGTACCAGGAATATTGTCTTTAGATATACACAGTGAAGATACTAGTAAAATTTTGACTGGAGGAAATGATAAAAATGCTACAGTATTTAATAAAGATACTGAGCAAATCATAGCTGTTCTGAAGGGTCATACTAAGAAAGTCACACGAGTCATTTATCATCCTAATGAGGTAAAAACTAAAATTAATAAATTACTTTATTTTTTGTAAACTCAATGAAACTGGTTATGATAATTCAAATGAAAAATGTTAATTTTATATTAACAATATGAAATAACATTGTTTGTAAGGATGTTGTGATAACTGGATCACCTGATACAACAATTCGAGTATGGAATGTTGGTGCTTCTAATCCTTTATCTCAAATAATTAGAGCTCATGAAGGTTCAGTAACTGGAGTATCATTGCATCCAACTGGGGATTATGTTTTGTCAACATCTGTTGATCAGAATTGGGCATTCTCTGATATCCGCACAGGAAAGCTATTAACCAAAGTAAATTATAAATTATTATAAATTTAACTATAAACATAATGAATATACCGATTATTTTAAATTTTGTGTCTAATACAGGTTTCAAGTCAAACGTCAAACAATACTTTAACTACTGGACAATTTCATCCAGATGGACTTATTTTTGGAACTGGTACTTCAGATTCAAATGTTGTGATTTGGGATTTGAAGGAACAATCAAATGTGGCAACCTTCTCTGGTAAAAATTAAACTTTTTTTTTTTATTTAGTTACATTTTAAATTTCCAATGCATATTTCAAAGCCTTTTTCTAAGTTTATGAAATTATTTTGATTATTTTTTTTTACAGGACATTCTGGACCAATTACGGCCATATCATTTTCTGAAAATGGTTATTATCTTGCTACTTCAGCAGACGATTGTTGTATAAAACTTTGGGATTTGCGTAAATTAAAAAATTTTAAAACTCTTGTCATGGATGAAGGGTATGAAATCAAAGATTTATGTTTTGATCAAAGTGGAACATATCTTGGTGTTGCAGGAACTGATGTCCGGTGAGTAAAAATAGTAAAATATACAGCTATTGAAATAAATTGTACACATATTACTTTAAATTTTATTTACAGTGTTTATATGTGTAAGCAATGGCAAGAATTAAAAGTGTTTAATGATCACACAGCATTGGCTACAGGAATTAGATTTGGAAAACATTCTCAATTTATTGCTTCTACAAGTATGGACAGAACATTGAAACTGTATGGGATTTAAAGCAGAAATAGTGTCTTATTATGATTCAATTTTAAGTTATAAAAACTGTGTAGGTGTATACTTTTTTTATTTGCAATATTGCATAAACCATTTAGACTTGATAAATAAAAAAATATCTAAAATCATGTTTGAAAATATTATTTTATTTATATTGAATTCCTTAATAAATATAGAAAAAGAATATTTTTCATTTTCTACTCTTAGAAGTATTAATGACTGATTTTACTGAAGTTTTTATATATTTATGAATCATCAAACAAGACTCTGCTTAAAATATTATTTTAAACATAATATGGTTCCATTCAAAATCTAAACAATAAATGTCGTCTCAAACATATGATTTTTTAAAGTTCTATAATTTTTAATAAAATTACAATCAACATAAATGTAATACTTTAAGTTAACTTTCAATATGATTTAACTGCATTAATCTAACAGTTAATCCATTTTGCAGCATCATCATTTTATATATTTGTAAATTTTTCGTTTAATTGCTTTATTTATCAGAACGGTTTTAATAATTTATAAATCAACAAGTGAAGTGTTTATATATTTATTATTTAACTATAAAACTATTATAATCTTTAAATAAACATTTGTTTTTGGAAATATTATAAACCATTTTATTATGTATTTAGTTAAAATCATAAACTTTCCATTTTTTATTTTTATTGTACAAATAGATATTTGTTTTCATTTTTAACAAGTGTTAGTCAGTGATGCAACTATAGTCTACACCTTGAAAACTAGTCTATGACTGGGATGAATCTAGTGACTATTTCCAATCAGTGGTCATCATAGATATAAAACTAATTGCTGTGCGCCTATTGTATAAACATCGAAGCGGCATGGTGAAGTTAGAGTACATGTGGTTAATAATTGGTCAATGGTGGATGGGTGATGGGGTCATTGGTCAGTTTTTGTATGATGGGCTAAGGACTCATTTTTGGGTAAGGGTCACAACATGTCTCCTAGTTGCGTTACTGATTGATATTATTCCATTTCATAGAAATAATTATATTTGTTTGGTAGTTGTTAATGACCACAAATTTGATTATTGGGAACATTATTAGGTTTGATATTTTATTCTATCTATTGTAAACATGAGTATTATTGATTTATAATATTTTCACGTCAAAATATTTTTTTATATTTTATAATTGATAAATATTGAATCTTTAAATAATTATTTTTAATTAAATATATTATTAATGGTTTATTTCTAATGTCTGATTAATAAACTACTGTATCTTATAAAAAATGTTGTTTGATGATTTTTTCAATACTCATCAACTTTTACACATCAATGTAACATTATTATTGTAGTTATAGTATACCTATCTATGACGTGTGTGATATTATTTAATTTCTATGGAATACAATTTAATAAATGTTATATACATGTTTTTCTGTCTATAAAGGTTATACAATGTATTATTTTTAAAAATTCAATCATCTATACATTTATAATCATTATCCTTAGTCATTATTTTAATATCAATACTCATTTGTTTTGTGAAGGTACAGGTTCCAGTATAACATAAATATTATTTATTTTGAACAGTCATTAGTGCTGTCAGTTTAGTAATTATAAATTCAAAAATAACTTAATAATTAATATTATTTAGATTAATTTGAACAAGAAATGTTAGAATTAAACAAAACTATACACGGTTTTTCTACCTGATAAATACACTCCACACTTTTGGTTGGTCATAAATTTTAATTCAATGAAAAAGAACAATTATTAAATTTGCTTAACATTTTTTAAATTAATTTGATACGTTCGATGTATCATTTTGCAATGTAAAATATTGCATACATTTCAACTATTGATAATATAGTAGCGGGTGATACATTTTTACATTAAATATACTCGTAACACTCATTCTAAAAACCATTAAATTTTTCAGAAAAAATTGTTATTACTATTTTTTGGTGTACCTATCCACTTAAACATATACAAATCGAATTTTGAATTTTGTAGTTTAAATTATTGTAAGTAATAACATTTTTAATTATTATATAAATAATCCTATTATAAAAATAATTGTAGTATGTAAAAGTCAAAAGTATTTATCTTTGACACACATACCTATTCTTAAACTTTTGAAAGTATTAAGCGATTTTGTAACAAGAAATGCGATTGTGTCGAATTTCAGAAAGACAACGAGTCAATCTTGTTATATATAACGGCAAAGTATACAATTTGGGTATTTTCTACAATGCCCGGACATAATGTAAAATGGCCTTCGTATATTGGGCAATAAAGATAATATAATATTAGTAAACTATTTTCGAAATATTAGCCAGATTAAGCACTGATTATTATTTGTAGATAGGGATTAGCTAGTGTGTTTTTTCTTTTGTTCTTATCGGTTTCCTTAAGTGGGAAAGTCTACATATTATTATGATTGTAATGTTTATCGCATGAGATTATCTCTAATCTTCATGGTTTATCGTATAAAACCGTGATCGATAAGACCTTTTACCTATGCGGGTTAAAATTAACCCAGGTAATTCTCGTAAAATTAATTTTTTAGTAACCACTAACCACGAATCATTTGTGTAGTGTAGGTCAACTGACTTATGATTAAAATATGGTAAAGTTTAATTCAGATTAATATGATTTGTCAAAATGTCAAGAAAAAAAGTTTAAATAATTCATTTTTTACCATGTTAAAAAAAAAAATGTCTAGGAAGCAGTACATGCGAAAATAAGCGATATAAAAATAAAAATAAAATTATTATATTTTCTAATAATATAAATATATTTTGACAATAATTTACTAATAAATATTATATTATCTATATTGTTCAATATACAAAGGCCATTTTTATAATGCCCGGGCATTGTAGGTTCGCGAACGGACCTTTTCCCGTAACACGATTGCGAACGTTTTAACTTACCTTTAATTGTGCGGTGTTGCCAGATTAAGTGTTAGTCAATTACAAATTTTTAAAATAGTTAAATAGTAGGTATAAGGATTTTCTGCAATTACGCTATCAAAACAATTTACATAACCCTATGGCCAAAAAATATCAATCTAAAATTGAATCAACATTAAAAAATTATGATTATAATTTATAAAATCCACAAGGATCTAATTTTGTATTTACAAAAAACTGGAAACTCTAATTAAGAAAAAAGAAAAAAATTTAGAAAAACATTTTAAATACTATTATTTTTTTTTTAGTTTATAAATTATGTAACAGTATTATTAATATTTATTCTCTGAAGTTATTTTAATTATTCAACATTTTAAACACTATTCATATATTTAATTTAATTTTATTTTAGTTTGTAACGTAGCTATAATGTAAAATTGTATTATTAATATCAAACAGTTGTTTTTATTAAAAATAAATAAATAAATAAATAATTGAATTCCCGAACAAAATTATAAAATTGGCAACGTAGTTTATAAAAACGTTCGCAATCGTTCGTTTTTCGGCTAAAAAACAAATTTTTTGATAAGTGACATTCGTTTGCAATCGTGTTATAAAAAAGGTAAAACGTTCGCAATCGTGTTGCACCCTTGTAGAAAATACCTAAATTGTACACTTTGCCCGTACATATATGAAAGAAAGTAACACTTTATTGTTGTTAGAACTACTGAGGTACCATTGACTTCTGAGAATTGTAACTTTTAAATTACATGTAGAAAAGTAGAATGTATAGTTGATAGGTATATTATGTTAACTTGGCAATATATATGATGTTTGTAATAATTTAATATCACATTCCAACGACGAACTTTTGGAAATAAAATCGTTATTGTACGAGTACTTAATTACATATAACATTTTAAGGCGTGGTATAATACTGCAATCTATGTATCAAATATAAGTCTATTCACTTATTATTTCGAAAAGTTTAACTTTTTTTTTCTTTATATTTTGATGTCATTGCAAGTTAATTTTTTTCTATTTTTAGAAAAAAATATATGAAAACATACATTAATATTCCGAAACAGAATTTTTCATAATATTTCGATACATAAAAACAATCAAATTTTGAATGAAATATAATTTTTATTAAATAGTAAAAATAAAAATAATAATTTATATAAAATAGTATTATCGTTATATTAGTTATAAATATTTAAAATGTTGATTAGTGGATTAAATGAATCAATATTTTGCGGAGTACCCCTTTGTCATTCTAACTTATTAGTACACAGGACGAGAGATTGGGGGGGGGGGGGTGCTTGGATGGCTTAGCTCTCCCCTCAAAGTTATTGAACATTTTTTAAAATATTATATATATTATTTTGCAACAATGCAAAGAAAGATTTAAGCCCTCCTAAAATTCAATCAAATATCTACCTATATGTATAAGCACCTAATAAATAATAATTATATCTAATGATATTAAATTGATTCTCATGAATAATGTTAAAAATCAAGTTGTATAATTTTAATCATGCGTAATATTGTTTATTATAATTTTTTGATTTGTTCTAAAATGTACAGTTTAGCTATTTTTTTTTTATTTTTTTTTAATGGCTTTATTTTTAAGAAATTAGAATCTATACAATATGTATAATAAGTTATATTTATAACTAAAATACAGTAAAATGAGTTTATATACACGAAGAGGGAATTACACATTTGTGACACTTCGTAAAATTACTTGAACATAATCTTTAAGTTATTAAATCGCGGCACCATTTCCTTTTGAGGTGTCTGATTGGGTTGTCGGGAAGAGTGAGAGATGCTAACTTGTTAATCAGTTTGTTGGAATTATCTTGCAGTTTGAGTTTAGCTCTTATTCTTATTTTTACTTTACTTTTCAATGTATGGCATTTAAGGTATTAAATCTACTGCAGAATGTAGAAGCTGTTGTTTGAAAACATTGTTACTCTTTTAGATTTTGAACGGAATGATGAATGTATTGGTTCTGCAATGATGATTACGGTTTCCAGTTATTGCATTTTCGTATTTTTTTTTCAGGGGGGGGGGGGGGGAGGTTACTCGATTTATTGCTAAGTAGATTTGAAATTCATTTCATGTTACCACGAAAAAAATATTGAAAGTTTATAATATAAAGTAGTAGTTGTAGTAGTATCTATGTAGTGTTATACCATATTTTTTCATATTTAGAGATTTTTTAGTTTTTAAGAATATATTTT